TGAAACCCCATAAAACAAAGTTGACATATGGTTGCAACAGAAATACAAATAAAAAGATTAAGACCTATACAATAAATAAAACAATATAAAGGTAAATAATAAAGACTAAAAGAACATTTAAAGTGGGGGGTTGCTAATAAAAAGCTAATCTAAGCTAAAACGGTCCTCAAGTGGAAACACATATTCTGACTAGATATAAGACACACTTGGCAGGATTTCAACCATAGACTGTATTTATAAAGACTGCAACACCCTCCTCTTCCTCTTCCTCTTCCTCTTCACTCTCTTTGCATTGATTTTTCCTGCAGCCAGGCGTAGGATGTTCTCTGAGAGAAACTAGACCCTGTGAGCTGGAGATAAACAAAGTCTTTCTCTGCACGCTCTGATGCGTCTTTTTCTTTCTTTGTGTCCTTGGTTTTCCTTTGTGTTCTGCATGTGAATACGACGCTTGTGCCCAGCAACTATAAGATGGATCCGTGGACTTTACTCACACGCTGTCATTGCAGATTTACTGTATGAAAAACAGCTCTTTAACTCTTTACATCTTGGACCTCTGGGTTTTCAAACAATTGGCCTCTGGGCTTCAACATGCAAACAACACAAGCACATTGCAGCAAGACACACAGACTGAAGAGAAGCCTATTGTCTTTTTGTGGTCATTTTAAATGTCTATGTGGTCATTTTGAGTGTGTTATTCGTAATTTTGAGTGTCTTTGTTGTTCTTTTAAGGTTCTTTGTGCTCGTTTTGGGTGTTTTTGTGGTCATTTTGAGTGTCTACGTGGTCATTTTGAGTGTTTATTGGGTCATTTATAGTGTCTTTGGAGTGTCTATGTGGTCATTTTAAGTGTCTTTATGGTCATTTTGAGTGTCTTTGTGGTCATTTAAGTGTCTTTGTGGTCATTTTAAGTGTATTTGGAGTGTCTACGTGGTCATTTTGAGTGTCTTTTTGGTACCTTTTTTTGTCTTTATGGTAATTTTGAGTGTCTATGTGGTCATTTTAAGTGTATTTGGAGTGTCTATGTGGTCATTTTAAGTGTATTTGGAGTGTCTATGTGGTCATTTTAAGTGTATTTGGAGTGTCTATGTGGTCATTTTTGAGTGTTTTTTAGGTCATCTTAAGTGTCTTTGGGGTCATTTCAGGTGTCTATGTTGTCATTTTAGGTGTCTTTCTGGTCATTTTGAGTGTCTTTGTGGTCATTTTAAGTGTCTTTGGGGTCATTTTAAGTGTCTTTGGGGTCATTTTGAGTGTCTTTGTGGTCATTTTAAGTGTCTATGTATTAATTTTGAGTTTGTTTGTGGTCATTTTGAGTGTCATTATGCTAATTTTAAGTGATTTTGTGGTCATTTGCAGTGTCTATGGGGTCATTTTTAGTGTCTATGTGGTCATTTTCAGTGTCTATGTGGTCATCTTTTGTGTCTTAGTGGTCATTTTGAGTGTCTTTGTGGTCATTTTGAGTGTCTTTGTGGTCATTTGAAGTGTCTTTGTGGTCATTTTAAGTGTATTTTCGTAGTTGCTTTGTTTCTATGTGGAAATTGAATGTCTCCTTGTCATCATTGCATGTCTCACTTTGGTCATTGGTCATAAAACATATTTTGGTTAACATTATTTGTATTCCTTCTACTTTCTTTGTACGTTTGTGAAAGTTAATTTAAGTTTAGTGCCTTTCATATGGAACTTATTTACCATATAAAGCTCTTACGTGGATGACATATAACAATGCAACACAATTGATTATTATAATAGAAGAAAATGACACAGAAAGCCCGTAAAAAAAGAAAAAACTATGAAAACTGCATTATGGCCTCTAGATGGCGGTGTTTACCTTCTGATTTTTCCAGAGTTAATTGCCACTCTTTATCCCTCACACACACACCTGTTGAATTAAGTTGTTATTCCTAATTTAAATTATTAACATTGTACGTAACTGTAGTATGAGGAAGTACAGGTAAGTAATATTTGCTTGGACAAAAACTACTACTCTTGGATAAAGACATTTGACTTCAGAGACGATATTATTATTTTTTGTACAGTACATTTTATTTTTAGGGAAATGTCATACTCATAAAAAGAGATGGGCTGACTCCAAACTACTTTTTGAAAATTTTCACCAAGAATAATATATCAGCACTATTACAAAACATTGTGAAAAAAAAGGCAATCAAAACTAATTGTGTATTTAACAAATATTTAAACTGAAATATCAAACTGTATTTTTCTTTTGTCTTTTGTTTAATTACTTTATGTATTTTATTTATATTTTATATGTATACACTTTTTTGTATTACAAATATATGATTTTCACATGTGTGTAATTAAAAAAATAAGTAATATTTGTTTAAAGCAAATCTCGCGATAAATCAGTATTCTCGAAGCAGAGTTTACGCCTTTTGCTTTGACGCACGTACGTCAATCACATCCCCATTACGTCCAATAATGTGCGTGTCTAACTCTAAAACTACCAGTCCTCTTTGGAGCAGAGTTTGAGAGACGATGTCAAGCGGAGTGAGTGAATCAGATTTGAACGGAGAGATAATGGGTGAGTTTTCTCGGATTTTTTTTAAACTATTGTGTGTGCAAAGTTAAACCAAGTCTAATGTGAACTTTTTAAGTTGTTTGGAGTTTGTTAAGTTTAGTTTTAAACTCATAAATCTCGGTAATAGTGAGTCTGTGTTTAACGTTAGCTCCAGTTAGCTTCAGTTAGCAGCTGTTAACGGACAACAGAAGCACCGAACTTCAGTTAAAAACATCACTTTTTAACATTTAGCTGCTTTCCCCCACTGCGTAGCCACACACCGCGGAAAACGTAGAGATCCTCCGGTAGTTTTATTTATAATTTAACTCATTAAAGCCCCAGGAAGTGCGTTGGACGTTGAAGCCCATATTTGGAATGTCCGTAGCGGCCAAACAGCGATACTCCAGCTTCGGTGACGTCACGGGGCCCAAAAGGACTCTTTACCATTGACTTGCAGAATACCTTTATTCGAGTTTACATTGTTACAGCAAGTAAAGAGCCAAATATAGCTTAATATTAACTAAGAAGCATGCATACAAATATTTAAAATAATGTAGAAATTACATAATTTACAAAATACACATAGTACAAGTAACAGGTGTGTGTGATAGCAGCCAGATGATAGTATTATAGGTGGAATTGTGTATATATATATATCTTCCCGCAAAGTGGAAATGTACATTGTAACACCAAAAGTGAAGATATAGACACTAAATAATACACTATAAAATAAATAGCATGCACATCATATTAAAAATTAAACATTAAATATACTTTATTGAGCCCAATTTGGGATTTGTTTCCTGCGATGAGACATTGCACATGATGAAGTAATTAAATAACAATATCAGCAGTAGAAGATAAACTAAGTAAGCTAAACAGTGAATCTATACATCTCAATAATGAAGGATGTACATCTATAGAGTATATATCTATTGAATACACAATATAAATACACAGAGTATAAGGCAGTGTACATTATGATTGTCCAGTCTGTCAAACTCCCAAAATGTAAACATTGAATATATACAATTCACAAAATCAAATGTCTGTAAATCAGCCTGTAATTTATTTTTAAATAAATAAACGAACCAGCACGAACCCTTTTACAGCCCTTATTTTAATCATTAGGTTGTAAAAGTCGTAAAATGCACTAAAAGCTGAATCCAGTGTTATTTTCCCCTCTCAATTCATCTGACTGACAGATAGAGATTAGAGGCGGGGCCTAAGGGGAAACTCAACTGCGCATGCTCTGTGGGCCCACATCCGGGTACTTTCTGAGTCTACACTCGCTCTATTTAGGCTTCACGCGCCTCTGAGCGACTCGGGAATCCGCCCACCATGCTGTATTTTGCTGTAACTTTGGGTTATTGTTAACATTATAAATCCGTGTTTAAAAGTTATCCAGTTGTAAAGTTAGGTGTTGTTTGTGCTTCTGACTTATTATAATTTAAAAACTGCCTCTAAATGAATTGTATTATGCTAAACGCTTTAAAGTCCTTGTATAGCACTATCTTTAGATTTATGAATGGAGTTTGGCAGTGGTGGAATGCAATTAAATACATCTACTCCAGTATTGAGCTTAAGTACTATTTTGACATATTTGTACTTGAGTATTTTCAATTTCAACTACTTAATATTCCTATTCCAATGCATTTCAGTGGCAATATTGTACTTTTTACTACATTTTATATGAACACTCACACTTACTAGTTTCTTTGTAGGCTACATATATAAACACATGATGAGCATATATTGTGTAATTCAGTACTTTAATCTAAAAAGTATATCATAGTAAGATAATACTGTGAAAAGAAGTACTTTTAGCTGATAGTACTTCTCTACCGTATGTATATTTTGATGTGAATACTTGTGTACTTTGTGAGTACTTCTTCCAACACTGGAGTTTGTCTGGGAGTTCTCTAAAGTCTAAATAACATGTTTTAATCCACGTTCTCATTTTAACGATAGTGCCGTCGTTCGTTAGCCTGGCATTTCCTGTTTTCTCATGATTGTGAGTAGTAGTAGTTCATAGCAGTGTAGAGTTTCTGCTGTTGCAATACTCCCAACCACAAATATCTATATTGTGTGAAATACAATGGTATGACTTGCTGGGAATGTGTTCTCCTCCCAGGCGGTGAAACAGGTTTGTTTGTGAGGTAATAAGCGACTTCGTCACAATGGGATGTCAGCCAAACACATGCATCATTTCAATTTGGCTTTATTGGCATGCATGTAATAAAAAGAAAATATTTGTACTTCATAATAGATGACAGCAAAGTCAGAGCAGTACATTTAAAGAATATCAGGATGACGCTCTAAAGCCCTAAAGCTTATTTCCATTGTGCTCCCACTAGGGGGTGGGGGTTGTTAAAGGTGAGGGGTCAAGAAGGCAGACCTAACATGGCAGGAATGTCACAACATAAACATCCTCCAAAACAATAATATATGTGTACACCATCATCACTGTGCCTAGCTGTCATTCACTGTTCCCTGTACATCAATACAGAACCATAACATGTTATTACATATTGCCAAAGCGTAAAGTACAGACTAAACAAAGCATATTGTTTGATTTGATTATCTTAAAAACTGATCAATCCCTCCTTGAATCAAATGGCAATTGCGAAACCAGTTAAAAATCATAAAATGTAATATTATTATTGTTCAAAGTAGATATTTGTTAGCTCTGTAGAATATGATTAGTTGGCCTGGGATATCTCTACAGCTCCACTAAACTTAATTAAATATATTTAAACACACATATTTATCCTTTAACTTTCAAACATAACACACTAGCTTGCCATCAAAACTTTTTGTGGTTCTGTTTTTTAGCTTTTAAGTTTATTTGTATAGTCACATTTGAACTTGGTGTAAATACTTGTCTTTAGCATCCTTTTTTAATGCTTCATTGTTTCTTAAAAATACTTGTTTTTGTATCATCCTTACGTTTCTTTTGTTACCTACTTTGCACCTTATTTTAGATTGTTTGTGTTCGAACCACCAGATACCAAAGTATGTGTGAACGTACCTGGCAATACACTTGATTCTGATTCTGAACAAATATTGTACTCATTGAGATTGGAATTGTTCATGTTGTGATTTCAACAGAATTCATGAATTGTGCAGCTCTGCTCACAAATGTAATATCTACTTTGATGTGGTATATATCCATGAAGAAGCCGTGTCAACATACAGTCCATGCCTTCTCATCCAGAAGGAGAAGAGGCAGTACGTGCAGTGATAAAACTTCTCAGTCTATATCGTAGGAATAATATTGTTGGTGTCTTTACACTCGAAGCCAATTGGCACACGTTAGTTAGATATTTGCTTAGCGGCAGTGACACGAAACAGATGGGAAGGGCAGACGGACAGATGCTAGGGGGAAGTGTGTCTCAGTTTGTTCAGGTGTCAGTTATCTGGGGAAACTACTGTATTCATCTGTGTTTACATATATATATATATATATATATATATTTTTTTCGGGCTGAGGACGTCGCTAGCGGGCTGTAACGAAACATAAACATAAACCGGCGCCATAAAGGCTAGGGACAGACATTTGTGTTTGACTTTCTAAAATGTTATTTCGCCGAACTATGGGGCACGGTGATTTCTATTTTAGTGACGTCCTGTTACGTGGTGCCGCGGCGCGTGAGCGCCACGTAGAGGAAAAAAGCGAGGAGAGAGTGCCTGGGTTTGAGGCCGGGCGCCGTGCAGACGGCCGGCCCGCGCGCGTAGGTCTGAAGCTCAGACCTACACTTATTTCGTCGGGGTGGTTTGGTAGGCTTTCTTTTGTCTTTGGGGAGGGTGCTGGGCCCCTGAGACGTCTCGAGTGGTTTTGATTTGTTGTTTGTGTGTTTGTTATATAGCATGTTTGTGGGAGAGATATCGGAGGCTTTAGAGACAAGCTATGTTGAGCCTATTTAAGTGTGTTGGACCGCAGACTCTTTCTAGGGTTTAACTCTACAAAGTCAGTGTACCCTACTCAAACGGTCCTTTCGTACATCAACAACAGGACCAAGAACAAAACGGACGACGACAGTCGATCGTTCTTCCAGGGTGTAACCTAGTTTTTCATGGATGGGATAGAAAGATAGAGAGATAGGTAGGTAGGTAGGTAGGTAGGAGCTAGATAGTAGGTCTCGGGTAGGTAGTATGATGTCACAAAGGGGACGAGTAACAGAACCTCCCCCGACGTGGGATGTTGCCTCGGGGCGCGGGGGGGGGGGATGTTTAACTTCCACAAATTTTTTGTTAAAAAATTATATAGTAGATCGTGGTTTAAGCGTATGATGAGATATAGATGCCAGTGAAAAGTGTAACTTGTACACAGAGAAAATAATTTATTTGATTTGCGAGTAAATCAACACTCAAATCAACAAAACTCGGATTCTTTGTGACTAACCGTATTAGTTATAGTATTATGTTGTCGAGGGAGAGAGACGAGTCTCCTAAATTTTATTATGTAGGGTTAAGGCGGATACATTCACGGAGTGTAACGGTCCATGACCTCGGACTTTCGTCCCGTAATCTAGGTAAAAGATCGTCGTCCTCTGTTTGTTACACTTTGAACGAAGGAGACATAATGGTATCTTTATGTAAATCATTTTTGATCTGTTCACATTTGTTAGTAATTCTTTTCGTTAAGTTTCATACATTTGACGTAACTTTTCGTCCTATGAGCACAGTACTCTGTTTATTCTGGATGAGAATCTACGACACAGACTATGAGTAACGTAATTAGAAAAAGATTGGTAGTGATAGTTCCATTTTTCTTGTTTGGGACTGTTTCAGGTCGAGAGTTTTTTTGAG